CGCTATCGCGCAGAAGACGCCCCCGTTTCTTGTCGCCGTCGTCGACCAGATCGTCGACTTGCTCACGTGATTACCGCGCGGAGGGCCAGGGGAGGGAAGGCCCGCGTTTGGGGACTATCGTAGTGTAGATGCGCGTCGTAGAGTAGTGTGCGTGGTACTTGTTCGTCCTATCCGCTCGCGTTGACGCCGGGGGGGGGCGAGGGAGCCCGTCTCTTGCATGTCGACGGCGAGTGCCGTTTCGAGGGCCGAAGGTTTTGCCGAAACGCCTCCCGTGCTCGACTCAAGATCAGTCTCCATCCCAACAACATTCGGAATAAATTGTTCCAATTTCTCCCTCCCGTGCCTGCGCCGGCCGGCCAAACTTCCACTACCCCATCCCATTCCCTTACTCCCACCAACCCACCACCAAAAGTTTGGGAAAACCTAATCGCCCTTATCAGCACTTGCGAACAGCACCAGGCAGCTACTTCCCTCGCCAAGAAAGTGCTTGTCCTCATCAAGTCTGGAAAAGTTGTCAGTGGTGATTTTTCTAGTAGCGGAACGGAAGGCCCCGACGGTGTGGATCCCAAAGACCATCACACCTGGTCTATGAACCACTTTGCGAACATGCTAGAATCAAAAACTTGTCCCTTGTCAAGAAAATCGCACGATGTGTTCACGGCCAAGGTTCTCATCCCGTTTCGAGGGCGCGATGAGGAGAGAGCTCTCTGCGCATGGTTATCTTCAGAGGGCAATCTGAAACAGTTGCAGGGCATTTGCGATACCATGCTTTCCCTGCCCCCGCTCACATTGAAGTCATTACACTCGGCCATCCGGTCTCAAATGAAAAATTATGACCGCATGCAGAGTCAGGGACAACTATCTGGTGCAGACGTGCTTCAGCTCCCTTTCCAAACAAGAAAACTTTTTAAAGAAGCAACGGCTTTGCAATCGGCGAACACAAATGTGGACTTGTGGCTTGATTATCTGGATTTCGAAAGGCGCATTGCACGCGAATCAAAGCTGGCAACAAAAGTCAACTGGCAGGCATTGAAGACTTTAGACGCAAAGCGAGGAGAGCTCTTTACAGAGAGACAAATTCTCCGCAACCTTGCATGAAGAACAGCGTGCTGCTCTGGAGCGTGTTGGGAAAACGCTTGGGACGCACCATACTCGCACTGATAGATGTCAGACCTCTCAATGACTGATTCTAACACGGGCCGTTTTATCCATCGGGCTGAAACACATTCAATGCAATACAACATTACGCTCCACTGTTCTACTGCGTACTACCAACTCGCATCTCTAAATTCCGAGCATTGTGGCGAGCCTTTTTTTGCCACAGAGCTGTCTCAGAAGCAGCGCATGTTTTGCCAGGTGAAGCCCACGATAGTATGGGTGTGGGGGGGGTTACGCGGGCAAGTTGATTTACCGCACAGCATCTTCAACAGTGCTATCGCCCTCTTCGACGAGTTCGGCGCGCTCTTCTCTAGTCCATTCATCTTTGGTGCCGATGGAGACTTTTGAAGCACTGAAAAGGCGCTGTTGGCATATGACGGCAATGGCCATCATGACGGCACACAGGCAGAAGACGGTGGTATTCTCATAGTTTTTGTACAGAATGAGGCAGACTATGAGATTCAAAGGAAGACGAAAGTAGTTCATAATGGCGGATCGGGTGACCTCGGGAACATACTTTGCTCGCATGGTACCCATAGCCGGAAAGTACAAACCGCAAATGACCTCAAACGCAAGCAGAGCGCCGTACACCTCCCATACATTGGATGATATGGTGGTGACGACAAAGCAAACGACGCCTATGATGTACATATTGCGCATGAATAGCTCAGCGGGTTGTGTCTTCATAAGAAAGACGAATAAAATGCTTCCAATTATGAAGCAAACCATGAAGGAACTAAAGATCATGCCATGCGAAATCTCGCCAAGTGACATGGCATGCGACGCGGCCTGTAGCGCCGGGGTCCAACTGAAGACCATGAGATACATGGCAGACTCAAAGCAGGACTGAATGATGCCGACAAGCAAGATCTTCTCATCGGCAATCATCATATGCCAGGCACTGCGCAAGCCGCCGGTGACGGTCTGCCTACTATCGCCAAAGTTCTCGGACCAGGACAACATGACAATGAGGCCCGTGGCGGCGAGGATGACAGCGGCCGTATCAAACGGGGCGACCTTTCCAAACTGGGCAGCGACCATGCCAGCAATCTGGCCTGCGACAATGGCGACGACAGCATTCCCAAACTAGGCCTTTGAAAAAGTGTCGGCGATGAGGTTGGGATCAAAGCCGCGGTTGTTATGCTCCGACACAAGCCACGACTCAAAGGCCGAGAAGAGGATGCTGGTAGCAATGCCCGCCAGCAGCCTGCCGACCATCAAGGTAGCAAAGTTCGGCGAGTGCTTGGTCATGCAGGACAGGGCGTACGTGATGACGAAGACTAGGACGTTAAACTTGCGGCCATACTTGTCGGCGATGGAGCCGATAAAAGTGCCGAAGATGGCGGACGAGCCAAAGCCGGCGATGAAGAGCTGGGCGACCTCCTTCCCGTAGCCGTACGCGGCGTACAGCGCGTAGACGTAGGGCCCCTGCAGCCAGTCGGCCGCGATGGCCAGCAAGTATACGACCAGTTAGTTGTTCTGGAAGGCTGGTGGTACGGCAGGCGCTCGGCGCGCGGGCCCAGGAAGAGGGCGTAGCCGCGGATCACCTGGGCGTCGATGTCAAGCAGCGCATCCGCCAGGCCCAGGCGGCACAGGGCGTCGTGTCTTGGACGGTGTTTGGACGGCGGGTGACCACGCACGTGTGGGGGATCGTGGCCGGGTGGTGGCCGGTGGGGGATAGGGCGGCGGTGAGGTGGCGGGGGCGGGGGGGTGTTGCATGGTGCGCGCGGGGGGAAAGGACGCTAGAGTAGAGCAGGCAGCAGACGACGAGGATGGAGAGCGTGCGGCGCACGATGGCGCGTCGCGGCTTAGTGAAACATCGAGGTCGAGGCCGCACGCATGTCCCACGGCGACGCACGCTGGTGCCAAGCCTGCGTCCAGCGTAGTAGCCTCGTGCAGAAACCGGCGCGCGACCTCGGTCTTGCCGCACGCGAAGGAGTATTAGCTGACGGGCATCCAGCTGACGGCGCTCTTCGGATCACGGTCCACCAGCCAGTGGGCTTCTTGCAGACGAAGAATAACGGCACCCGACTTGCGAAATTCGACGAGCTATGAAGAGATGAGGGAAGGCCACTCCGGTGGCACTCCGCACAAGAAACGGCGGGGGGATGCTACTGCGGTGGCACTCCGCATGTGATACGACAGCACTGCACGGTTGACCCAGATTTCCGCCCTGCTGTACCTACTGTTACCAAAAACGATACAGGAACCAAGCTCCCAAACAACACGGTTACAGATAACATATACGGTAAATCCACGCCCGATGGATGAAAGGAAGACGGCAACCACACTGATTTCAGTCCTGCCATCCCCAGACCGGCATCAGCCTCTCTGAGCTGATAGGTCACTATAAAGGCAGGCCCGAACCTCAGAAGCGCTGCCATGGTAAACAGAACAAACATCGCTGCTCTTTTTCGCAGCAAACCAGGAATGCAAAACGCAAAAGTAAAGAGAAAGCCTAGAGAACATAACTTGGGCGACATTGCTTCGAAGTCAGAAAGCGAAAACAAAGCAGACAATAATCGTATCAATCTCGCCTTCATCCCAGTCTCAGGCACCCCGTTAAACGAAAACGGGTGCGAAGCATGCCGCTGCGAAGCTGAATGAATGGTGAGCAGATGCGGTTGTCCATCGTCATACAGGGACGCATTCCACGGTACCCCATACGCAATCACGCAAACCTCAGGAGCACTCTTCTCAGACTGCTCTCCTGTTCGCTTCTCGCAGTTGGACGATAACCTCTTCACAACACCCAGTGGCACTCCATCAACACGAGCCTCCAGCTTGGACCCCTCCATCACGCGTTGAGGCCCGACAAGCCGCACATGTGAAGACATCAACGCACCCCACCCTGCGCCGACACTCTGGGTCAAACGGGATGACACGGTCATTGCGTAGTCAGATATACCATGAAGGTCTTCCTCATCTGATGAGTCTTCATTGTCGTTCCCCATGTCAGACGCTCTGACGGCCTTACCATCGTCTGTAAATAAGAGACGATTGGCACTAGGCATTGCTTTTAGCAAGTCCAGTTTTCGCCTCTTGCGTTTCCGCATCAGAATCACCTCGGAAACCTCATAAATGCTGTCACCCGCCTCGTTAACATTTGACGAGTTAATTTTGTGATTGCAAGTCATTTCCTCGCTTTTAAACAATATTTGGAATGTTCATAAACAAAACTTCTGTTGTTTCAGAAAAAGTGGCGATGTACCGTTCATAGACAACATTGAGAATGTTTCTTTGGTCTATATGTATTGCCGCCACACATACAATAGTACTGTTATTAATGCAATCTAATTACCGTCTTTGAACAATAATAGTAATGTTTTCCATGTCAAAAACATTGCTTTTGGACAACGTTTCGTTATTTCTTTAAAACTATCGTCCAAAAACAATACTTTTTATTGTTTTTCACGGTTTTGCCTCCGCAGTGCCACCATGGTGGCGGGTACTGCATGACATAGTCGGGGTAGTGAGGGATGGGATGGCGTGGAATAGATACTGGGCGGGGGTGTGACGGTTGTTGGTGGTGATGGCGAGGAAGGGAATGCTGGTGTTTAGCTTGGAGTTGGCGGCGAGGGGGGGTGGACGTGACGATACGGGTCATCGTAGTGGGTCGGGGAGGCTTGAAGTGGGCCACAATCGCCAACTTCGAGCAAGTCCAGACAGAATTTAGGATTAAATTCTGTCGGCAGATTGTGAACAGGTATCAAATTTTTATTTAACATGAATTGTACTGCAATTTCCAAGTAAATTTGTATGATAATTTTTTTGATTTGGCCTATACAGAACCCCCCATCCCCCAGATTTAGAGAGTACATGTTGGACGATAACTTCTAAACTATTTTGGTTTGTCCACTTCTGTTTTCTGCATATCACTACTACTGCTCTAAGCTTTACAACCATATAAAAATATCTGGAATCCGAACGGGTTCCCCTGGTACTGTTTGGTATCCCAAATTCTGGTTACCACCAAACCAGTGTTCTACGTAGGCGAGCATCAAGATGACTGGGACGTGTACGTGGGGCCGCTTACGTATGCGTATAAGTCCCACGTACACCGCACCACCAACACGACGCCGTTCGAGCTCGTGCTCAGCAGGCCACCGCCGGAGTTCTCGCTTCGACGAGCCGACGGTGACGTTCTCTCTGCCGACAGGGGGACCAACGTGCCGAATTCCTCAAGACCTTAGATTCGACAATCCAGAAGGCCTACGGGAGCCTGCGTCGGACGCAGGCTCGCTACAAGCGCGACTTCGATAAGCGCATACGACGGATAAATTCGCCACTCCATCCGGGAGAGTACGTATACCTCAACCCCACCGACGGGGGGAAGACTACGAACAAGCTCGCGTCCCCCGCGGTCGGACCCTACCGCGTCCTCGCGAACGACCTCCGAACCATCACGATCAATCGTGATGGGGTCACTGAGCGGGTCTCCGCAGATCGCTGCGTATACGCGCCACCGCCGACGGACGCACTACGGGCGAGCACAATAACTCCAGCTGACCTCGCCGACAAGGTCAGAGAGGGGACACAGTACGCTGTTGAGCGACTACTGAAGCACCGGGATATGGAAGACGGAACTATCGAGTTTCTCATCAAGTGGGCGGATTTCGACACGCCCACCTGGACTGCGCGGACTCACGTCCAGGAGGAGTTAGTGCCTCATTACGCCCATCACCTCCGGAGACGCACCGGCATGGACCTCAAGTCAAACGTGAACGCGGATGTTCACGCTTGAGGAGGGGGCCCTCAACCGCTCCTCCGCGGAATAAAACGTCAGGCTGCACGAGCAGACCGGAAAGAAAAGACGCGAAAGTACAGCTACCCCATCGGAGGCCCACACAATGGGAAGGTGCCCGAAGTCAAGACGTATTGACGAACTAAGCCAATGCGAGAAGGCGCGACGACGCCGCCACGCATCCATAGTCATGCCCATGAATGGCATCCGGCGTCTCCGGCAAGACGCAGAAGAAAAGACAGTACGGACTGTCTCACGAAAACATGGCCCGTCGGTTGGATAGGAGAGACTCCGACGAGAACCCCGTAGTCCATCCTCCAGGAGACCAACTCCCCATGGCGGGAAGGGGTATGCGGATCGCCGCACTAATGAGACCGTAAGCCGTTACGGGAAGTGGATTGACCGCACCCGCCCCCTTTACAAGGTAAGAGAGCCATGGCGGAAGACAGCAGAAGCGAGAGATGGTGATGCGTAGTTTCCCCGGCGGGTATCGTATACGAAAGACGACCCCCGACACGCAATTATTAGGCCGGCAAAAACCTTTTTCGCAACCGCGTCGTTACGTCCTAGGAAAAGAGAAAAAGGGATGGGCAGGTGTGCGCGG